CCCCCGCCCGTATTTCTCCTCGCGCGCTTTCGTTTGCCCGTGTCCGCCCGTCTTCTCGTTCAGGCCACGGGAAATTTCCTGTCGTCCGCTTTGGAGCTGTCGAAAGAGCCGGCCGCCGCCCGCGCTACCGCTGACCGCGGCGCGATTCCTATAGCAGAGGCGTCTACTCGAACCTCGGAAGCCGCCGAGAGCCGAGAGCCGTCTGTATGTACCACTGATCACAGGAGATGAGGCCTGCAACACGTACCAGTCACCCCCAGCTGCGTGTCAGGCGTGCACGCGCGGCGGTGCGCGCTGTTACGCGGCAGCACTCACCGATTTTTTTTAGACCTGAGTCGGGCGTCCTTCGGGCACCCGTGGGCCGTCGCGGCACTGTGAACGACACCCGCTGCGATTTTTTTTCTGCTCTGGAAGCGTTTTGGTGGCGTACCCCTTCTCAGACTTAAACGCCGACGAAACGCACCCCCCTCTCGGGTCTAGACTCGTGAGCTACAGGCTGTTTTGCGGGTTTCTAAGTGGGTACGTAACACAGCACGTCGAGGATGGTGATCGCGTCATAGCTTGGTAGAACGAGGAGCAGCAGGCCTGTATCTCTCCGAACGCCGATGTTTGGAGTGAGGTCGTTTCACGTGAGAGGGGTGAAGGAAAGCACGCCTTTTCTTTTCTCGTAAACGGCGCAAGTAAAGCTGACACCATGGTCTCACTTTTTCCGCGCTACCCGCAGTCATCTGAAGTACGTGAGGCCCCCTTGTTATTGGCGTGTATTAGTTCGGGAATTTAGTTGGTGCCCTCCGAACAAGCTGTCACATGTGTTCACATCTGTTGCGCTTGTTGTACGCGACTTGTTGCGTATTTTCTCGTCGCATGGTTCTGTGTCGCAGCTTTGACAGGAAAGAAGCGTTGTTCACCTATGCATGTTGCACTGTAGGCCCCAGCCGGCAATCATACTGCCATGCTTCCCATTCCGTTGCTTGTTTTGTTCACATTGACAGGGCGGCACTCAGCCAGCACTCATTCAAACTGTGTATTAGTCCCCCTGTAGACTGTTGGTCATCCTCTGTTTCGCTTAGATGCTCTGTGCTTGATTGTCATTCGGCCTTCGAGCACACGTCAGGGGGCCGACGAGTAGGAACGATGCCAGCAAACAAATGACTGGGCGCTCGTTTTACGTTTTGATGCACTGCCAGTACGTGGATCGGCCGTTTCTCCGTGTGTCGACTGATTGGTCTGTTTGAATTGAGAGGACCTCGGTTGGCAGTCTTGACGCGGCTTTCCTAGTGGTGAGCTTCGCTATCTGTCCGTTTGTACAATCGCGACAGCAGTCGCATCGCTTCGTGTGGCAGTGGTTTGGCTTAATCGTTTGCTTTAGTGCAACGGCTGTGTTGCGTTTTGCTTGATTGAAATGTCCACTACTGTTCTGCGTTATGTCGAATATGTCGAATATGACGTGTAGGTGATACGAGCTCGGAGGAACTTCGTTTGGAGGTTCTTTCATGCAATGCTGTCCAGCCTGCGCTCGTCGCGAAACAAGAACCAGAACCACCTGCTGTAGTAGAGAGCTATAATAGGAAGAGCGGTCCATGACGTTGTAGAATTTGGGAGGTGGGCGATACACCAGGAACTTCTTCCGGCCGGCGAGTCGTTTAGCGCCACGTGTTGCGCTGCTACGAAAGGCCCAGCGAAAAAGGGGTACTGTCAGACGCAACCTTCGATGCAAGAGGCGGTTGCGGACGAGAGATCATAAATTACTGGAGCTACGACCTACCCTTCGGTGTTCTCGGTCGAAGTGTTGTAGAACGAGAGAATGTTCGTGCTGTGAGGCGAGCAGTGTTCACAATTCATCTCCTTGAGCTACTTCCAGCAGTGGCACTCGGAGGATGGGACTAACGATCCGGGCCCTTCGCAGAGGTCGTTACTCTGTGTGCATTGGTCCGGAGCGGTTGAGTTACAGAGGAGGCAACACGTTTTGGGACAACAGGGAGGAACTGCATGGAATTCTGAAGCCTTAGGATAGCTTTAATCTCGTCGTTCGATATCCGTGTTTTGTGGGGTCCCCCGCTTCCTGTGTCCGCCCCCCCCGGTGCTTGCCATCGGGGTTGGGTCTTCGTCGCTTGGCAACGGCGTTGTAAAACAAGCCAATTCACTTCGTGAACTCGGCAACCAGGTTACCGTTGTTATTTTTTTACCCGTTTTATTTGGCGGTAACCGTAATGGTGGTGGAGTGGATCATGTTGTGCGGGGTGGAGAAGCCTCACTCCGCGCAAGGGGGATAATCGCACCACGTTGTGTTAAAATGGTCAAGCACCATCGAGGCAGTTACACGGTGCTTATAACTGTCTCTGGAAGTGAAAGCACCAGAAAATATATTTAGTCATACGCAGNTTACCCGTTTTATTTGGCGGTAACCGTAATGGTGGTGGAGTGGATCATGTTGTGCGGGGTGGAGAAGCCTCACTCCGCGCAAGGGGGATAATCGCACCACGTTGTGTTAAAATGGTCAAGCACCATCGAGGCAGTTACACGGTGCTTATAACTGTCTCTGGAAGTGAAAGCACCAGAAAATATATTTAGTCATACGCAGCTGTCATCCGTACGCAAGGAAGTAAGCACAGGATGCCGAACACCCTTAGCAGGATGCAATGCACCCTTATGCGACTCGCCGAATACTTCACCGCGCTTCGCGCTTGGTGATGTGAGAGCCTGGTCCGTTGAGAACTCGGCGTGCTCCGTCCCGGCTTTGTAGGGATGCGAGGTCAATGGTCTAACGACTACGGCATGCACGACAATGAGTACAACCCCCCCGCTCTCCCGGTGTTTGCCATCGGGGTTGGGTTTTCGTCCCGTAGTAAGGTCGTTGTAAAACAAGCCGATTCGCTTCGTGAGCTCGGCAACCAAGTTACCGTTCCTTTTTTTGCCTTTGGCTTTCCTTTTTGCGGTACCGGTAACCGTGAGTGGTGGTCGAGTAGATTGTGTTGTGCGGGATCGAGAACCCTCACTCCGCGCAAAGGGGATAATCGCACCACGTTGTGTTAACATGGTCAAGCATCCTCGAGGCAGTTACGCAGTGCTTACTATTGTCTCTGGAACTGAAAGCACCAGAAAATACATTAAGTCACACGCAGCTGTCATCCGTACGCAAGGAAGTAAGCACAAGATGCCGAAAACCCTTAGCAGGATGCAGCGCACCCTTCATGCGACTCGCCGAATATCTCACGGCGCTTCGCGCTTGGTGATGTGAGAGCCTGGTCCGGTGAGAACCCGGCGTGCTCCGTCCCGGCTTTGTAGGGATGCGAGGTCAATGGTCTAACGACTACGGCATGCACGACTATGAGTACACCCCCCTTCCCCCTCGCTCTCCCGATGTTTGGCATCGGTTGGGTTTTCGTCGCTTGGCAACGACGTTGTAAAACAAGCCGCCCCCGGCTCGCGAGGGCGATGGAGACGAAGAAGGGACCGGGCGAGGGAGGCGAGCAGGCAAGTCAGAAAAACGCCGAGAAGAAGCGGAAGGCGAACGATAGAGTGCGCAAAAATCTCCGATAGGGAAAAGCACAACCTGAGAGTGGGGTCGCGGAACGTGTGCGAGGTTCGCAAGGAGTGCACGCAAGCGGTTGTTTATTGTGGACCAAGTAGAACAAAGCGATCTAGATGTAGTGGTGTAAGCGGGATCCAAGAAACGTGGGAATCGAAGGATGGGGACGTGGTAAGCAAAGTAGGGAAATACCGGTGGGTGGGGAAGGCAAGAAGGGGCGTAGCCCCGAAGAAAAGGGGGGAGGGGGGAGTCGGATTCCTGGTCGAGGAACATTTGTTTGACGTGGTGAAAGTAGTGGTGAAAACGGAGTTCGAGGAAAGCCTATGGCTTCAGATACCTGGGGAGCGGGGTGAGAGAGATTTGTTTCTAGGGAACGTATACGTCCCACCGTTGTCGAAGAAAGTCGCAAGGCACAGGAGAACTTTAGACAAATCGGGGAAAATGTCCAGAGGTTCAGTAGGAAGGGAGAAGTTGTCATGGTGGGCGATTTCAACTCCAGCGTAGGGAAAGCTTCCATTAGGGGAAAGGCGATCGGGCAGCACGGAGAAGACAAAGTGAATGACAACGGAGTGAAGATGCTCGAATTCTTGGGAAGCAACGAGCTGATGGTGTTGAACGGTAGAGGGGAATAATGCGATAAGCCGCAGTTCACCAGGCAACGGGCAGTTTGCAAGGAAACTAGATCCTCGACTAAATCCTGGTAGATGGGGGGAGCACACAGATCCCAGATCTGCGTGTAAGTGTGATAGATATAGGTTCGACCGACCACTTCCTCATATGGGCAAANTTAGGGGAAAGGCGATCGGGCAGCACGGAGAAGACAAAGTGAATGACAACGGAGTGAAGATGCTCGAATTCTTGGGAAGCAACGAGCTGATGGTGTTGAACGGTAGAGGGGAATAATGCGATAAGCCGCAGTTCACCAGGCAACGGGCAGTTTGCAAGGAAACTAGATCCTCGACTAAATCCTGGTAGATGGGGGGAGCACACAGATCCCAGATCTGCGTGTAAGTGTGATAGATATAGGTTCGACCGACCACTTCCTCATATGGGCAAACATCGACCGATCTAGAAAGGTAAGAGAGTAACAGTGGAAGGTGTTCCGGTGGAAAGTAGAGGGTTTGGGAGACGAGGGGACACGGGATGAATTCCAGAAGGGATTGGCTGGTAGTGGATAACCCTTCAGGACACTGCTGAGAAGCGTCGAAGACGGATAGGTAGACGTACGAGCAGTACGGGGACAGCGTGATTGAAGGGTGGGAGTCCATGGTGAACACGGCGGCAGACAGAGCAGTGAGAAAGAAGGCGGTACGATGTGAGGTATTGTTTAATCAACATAGTCTATTCGCCATTTGATTTTCGTCGCAGAGGGGTGTTTTGACTCCGGACCGTGCGATGACTCCACACCCTGTGCGGAAATTGAATTAAATGCTTTGGTTTCGATACAAGACGCACGGGAGATGATAATGGCATATACGTCCATGCCAAATTTTTGACGTGGAGGGGACAAAACTACCCCATCCCCTGTACCAAAACGCCATATTTTGTGCCATAAAACCACCAAACAAACAATTGGTTGGCCAGTTATGGCGGCATCACTGACAGTTGTAACAAGCACGTACTGAGGCCGACAGACGCGGAAAGGGAGGGCCAGCTCTATAGGGGAGACTGTCTCTACTACCAAAGCCGAGGAGGACGTGCCAATCGGCCGTTTGAGAAAACAAGAAAATCATTCTGTATCTCCTGTATCTTTGGTCTCTTCTTGGTCTGCACCCACGCATGTCCTGCCTTACAGCACAGCACAGCACAGCTTTGCCTTCCTCTCCGAAGACCAGCAGGTGTGTTGTGGTGGTGGCGGAGTATGGGTGGTGCGTGACATTGCTGGTACTGCTGGAGTAATCGCCGTCGCTTGTAGCTTTTTGGAATGTTGTTGTGCTGCTTGCGCGCCTGCGCGCCTTGATACCGTGGCTCCAAATACATGAAGACATGCTTCCATGTACTAGTCTACTGCTGTGTACTGCTGTAGTGTCGCACGAAAGCAGTGGCTGCTGCTGGAAAGCAGTAATTGTTCGCTATCACAGCTGGTGCTTATAGTTACTGATTATTGCACTACTGTAGCACTACTGCAGCTATTGCACTGCTGTAGCACTGCTGCAGATAAGAACGATGTGCACCCTACTTGAATAGTAGGAAGAAGCGATTAAGAAGTGCACGCGTACATAACCGCTGAGTTGTTGTTTGTTTGTTTCTCTCCCATCATTGGACTCTGCCGTCTGCCCCTCTGGCCCCTATCCTCCACTTCTACTGGCTTGACGACCCAACCGGGGTCTCATGGGAGGGGGGGGTTGGACCCCCTCCTGCGGTTCATGCCTGAGGTATTTTTATCGCGAGAAGGGTACAGCACTCCCTTCCCTCGCGACTTACGAAGTCGATTATGGTTTACTAACAAACGAGCTTTGCAGCGCGTCGCTTTCATCCTAGACCAGGATTTATTTTGTGAGTTTAAAACTCTCCCTGCCGGGACTCAAACCCATGACCTGGCCCTTAGCAGGCTGCGAGGCTACCCACTAGACCACCGGGGCGACCGCTGAGTATGCAAAGGCGATTGCGCTAAAAAACAAACATGCTTATCAAGTATGGTATACAATATCGAGAAATCTGATCACACCTGCATCAATGCGCCTACACGCATTCTAACGTCGTGTGTGCTGTTGCCAGTGTAGTCTTCTCAGAGCAAACCGAAAACTTGCTGAGCCGGCTTGGCCGAAGGTGCTCAAGCGATACGTTGACGTCTATCAAGGCCTTCGTCTCAACGTATTGTATGTTTGAGCGAGAGTGTGCCGTACTCCCCGTGGAGAGATGCTGGCGTATTGTCGTCCAACGTTCTGCCAATGGAGGAAGAGGTGGACCGTCAGTTGGCCTGGTGCACGATATATATGTATGTTTTGCCAACGTTTTGTTCAATATGGTCCTTTCTTTGGAGGTGGTTGGTCTCTACATATATGATATTTACGGGTGTGAACAGTACACTAGTAGTTTTTTGGGCAGGGTGGCAAAGTATGGCCAGAAGGTGCGCGCGATCTATGACGCCACTCATTTGTCTCTGCATAAAATCGCGACAGAGCAGGGAAAGCGTGTCAGGTCGCGTGCATTCGCTCGGCCCGCTTGATGCTCTGGCCCCACCTGTCTAATGGCCCGATCCAACACCTGCTTGCTCTAACTACACCGGTATTATCCCCTTTAGGACAAGTAGCTTTTGGGTCGCCACGCCGCCATGGTTATCTCGAACAAGATGCGCAAGGAGGGATCGGTAGCCTTGTGGGTAGACGGTGGTGGAATATCGTGCTTTGGCGAAGTGCTTGTGGGGATTGGATATGTACTGGTCGCAGCGAAGTACGTTTGGGGGTTGGATATGTACTGGTCGCACCTGCAGCTCGTGGTCTTGCGGGGGCAGCAGCGAACACCGAGGAGCTCGTATCAGAAGGGCGTATTTTGTCCTCCTTCTCAAGGCACTTCCCAGAAGTCATCCACGCGGGGTTGGGTTACGCTTTCACAGCCAACCGCGTGGGCGTTGCACGCACGGTCACCCAGACGTCGAGAATGTAACGTGCTTCCGTCACACATATTGTAAGCCTCGGTGGTGGGGTGGTGACCTGAATATGCTGCTGGCGCCCCAAGCTCTACACGCAACGGTGAAGCTGGTGAGCCCGACAAGCAACACCTGCTTGCACGCATGCTTCCGACATTTTCAAGACCAAGCTTGGGGGAAACTGCTCGTCGTAATCGGTGATTCTCCTTGCTTCGTGACGTTGCGTGCAGGTCTCAGACGGCTTGAGCGGCAACACTGGCGAGGACAGAGATCCCGCCGAGTCTGTCATTCTTAAAGCGGAAAGAGAAGAACCGTGGCAATGGAAGAAGTACAAGAATGCAGCGCAAAACATGAAGGAGGTGGGTGGCGACGGGTCTGCCAGACGCCTGTATCTCGTCATTTTCACTTTACGAACGCAGTTCTGCGGTAGAAGGGGCATGATGTGGTCACTTCACATTAAGAACGGTACTGTCAAACGCGTTTGTCCCTTCACTTTCACTCTAGGTGCTCGAACGCCAGTTGTGCGGTAGACAGAGGCAGGACGTGTCATTTTATGTCAAGAGCGGTAGTGTCAAACCCGTGTGGCCTTTCGCTTTCACTCTAGGTGCTCAAACGCCAGTGCTCGGACGCCAGTTGTGCGGTAGACAGGGGCAGTACGATGCACTTCACATGAAGAGCGGTAGTGTCGAACGCTTGTGTCCCTTCATTTTCACTCTAGGTGCTCGAACGCCAGTTGTGCGGTAGACGGAGGCAGGATGTGGTCACTTCATATCAAGAGCGATGCTACCAAGCGCTTGTGTTCCTTCATGGACGTCAGCGGAGGGAAAGAGGAGGCCTATGGCTCGACGGGGTGGGCAGAGGGAGGTGGAGAAGAGTCATTGCCCGAGCCGTGCGACAGCGGAGGTTGGTGCAGGCACTATAGGACATCGTTGGGCGCTGCTGATAACGTAGTCGTGCTTTTAAGTAGGAACACGGCGGCCGCGATAGTAACTACCCATCGTGACGTAGCGTTTTGACATTGCGTAGTGTTGTCACAACGACGTCAGGCACAATACAAGAGTGGGTGGACGGGTAGGCACGGATGTCAACAAACAATCCTGGAGATCGCATCACCATGGTCGGTGAAGGAGTTCACCGCGGTCATCATGTCTCGCGATGGCTCATTCTGCCGCNTTTTAAGTAGGAACACGGCGGCCGCGATAGTAACTACCCATCGTGACGTAGCGTTTTGACATTGCGTAGTGTTGTCACAACGACGTCAGGCACAATACAAGAGTGGGTGGACGGGTAGGCACGGATGTCAACAAACAATCCTGGAGATCGCATCACCATGGTCGGTGAAGGAGTTCACCGCGGTCATCATGTCTCGCGATGGCTCATTCTGCCGCGCGTTTTCTTCTGCATGCGGGCCGCGCACATACATGACATGTTCCCGTTTTCCACGGCAGAAGTAGAAGGCGATGAAATGGCAAACCACAATCCGATCAATCTCGAAAATGGCTTCACGTTCCTTGAGGAAGGTGATGGAGATGCAGGGTGGCACTCGATTCTGAGCAAAACCAAAGCGAGCTTCATCGCCGTGGTTTCAAGAGCAAAACAACAGCGGTCACGTGTGTGAGCGCCTCATGTTGAACGTTGTTCATCGCTTAAGCAGGAGTAGAAAATCTCGTGCTGCCGTCGAGAATGTGGGTGTCCCGGAGGGCGACAGTGCTTGTTGCATTACACATTCTTTCCATACTGATACATCGTAGGGACAGGGGAGGGGGGGGATGTAGGTTCTGTAGCATAGTTGTTTCGCCAGCATCACGAGCATCACGTCAATGCCCTATTTTTCTCTCCGTGCAGGCAAGGCACGAAGGCGAGCTCCCTCCGATTGGCCCACATGGACGGCAACGTAAAGAAGCCGGCNGGACGGCAACGTGAAGAAGCCGGCAACCCGTCATGAACGAGTACGACAAGGCTGGAGCCAGCACCTACGCTCGACGTGTACGTGCCGCAATGGCATCTCTCTCTCTCGGCCCGTGGTGTTCTCATATCAAGTAGTTGACGATAGGTTCGGAAACACAGACCAGTGTTACTAGTTACGGAGAGTCCATTGCCGCGTTCGTTCGATTTGTGTCGTGCTGTTTCCCGCTGCCGATCAGGAAANTACGTGCCGCAATGGCATCTCTCTCTCTCGGCCCGTGGTGTTCTCATATCAAGTAGTTGACGATAGGTTCGGAAACACAGACCAGTGTTACTAGTTACGGAGAGTCCATTGCCGCGTTCGTTCGATTTGTGTCGTGCTGTTTCCCGCTGCCGATCAGGAAATCGTGGCCAAAATTGGAGCAACCGCCGTCCTGGTTGAGGGAAGAGAGCCATTTCGGTTCCTCGAAGACCTGGCTGTAGAACCAACCAACAACGATGGAAACGGAGACGTGCGTATGCTGTCAGGTATCCGCTGAGGTCTTCGACGGGACAAAATACCATGATGAAACCCTCTTTGGTACCACGTGTTTTGCGATATTGTTGTTGTCTGGCTGCCCACGTCCAAAGAGATGCAGTGGTTAACGTACAGTGTACAAACTATGCAAGGTCGACCACCTCGTAGTCATAGGCCTGGGCGGATTTCAGCGGTGTACGTGTTTGCAGGTCATCAGGCGGGTGTCGCAGTGTAGGCAGATCCTCGTAGCGCTTGTCACGAAGTTGGGTCGCGCTTCCGACTTCAAGGGAACAACCATCCACCCACGGTGGCGTCCCAATAGTGCAGAAACGTGGACTAGATGAAGTAGAGCTAGGTTCGTTTGATGGGGACGGCAGTGAGTCGNAGGTCATCAGGCGGGTGTCGCAGTGTAGGCAGATCCTCGTAGCGCTTGTCACGAAGTTGGGTCGCGCTTCCGACTTCAAGGGAACAACCATCCACCCACGGTGGCGTCCCAATAGTGCAGAAACGTGGACTAGATGAAGTAGAGCTAGGTTCGTTTGATGGGGACGGCAGTGAGTCGTATAGTGGGGGGCTTCACCGCTGACTGTCAGGGATGAGACGATTTCGGGGACCCTGTTGATAATGAATCTGAGCCTGACCCTGTACTGTCTGTTCATTCGGGGAGGATGTATGCCAACCTGATGGAGGCCTGCTTGAGGTGTGTACGCATGTATACCGAAAGCACGTCCAGGGACTCTCGCCCACATGAGGCGAACATATATTGTTGAATGGAAATGGAAGAGAAAGCATTTGCTGACAGACGCACAAGTGTTGATGGTGCCAAGCCTCGGGCGGGACTTCAAGACCCGCCACTTCATCCAAAAAAAAGTAAAGAGCAGATTACGGTGAGGAATTTGAACCGGGTAGGGGGGGCAAGAGGGTGAAGACAGAAAGCCCTCGGCAGATCAAAATGGGTCATGTGTCTATATGATCTAGATGGCTTTAGTTGCAAGCAGCACGTTTGTTTTTGGAATCAGGAGTGAGTGCCGAGGGCATGGCGGCGCGTGTTTACAGCGTGGTTGTACTGTAGTGTTGCAAGTATCATGTTGTCCGTTGTATCGCGTAGGCTATTGTCGTGCAACAGACCCCTTTTGTTTTTTGATGATGAAAGCTTGTAGCTTTCTTGTGATGGGCAATATTTGGTGTATTTGACTTCGGGAGCTACACCATACAACCTGGTTTCAAGTTGCTGGTATTGTTTTCTCCGTGTAACTTTTCTTGTTTCGTTGTTTCCTGTGAGCTCCAGCGTAGGTAGGGCACAATATTTGACAGGACAGAAGCCAGGCACCGGCAAGGTACAATCTAAATTCGGATACATTTTAGTGCGTCCCATTGCGATGAAAAACACAACTACTCGTGAGGTTTATTTTAACGATGCACGTGGGGGGCGGGGCAGCATGGTTCCTGATTTTTTTTCGTTGATTTACATCAGCGATGTAAGGATACTTCACGCAGCGCTTCGCTGCTTGCTTGAATCGAATGATCTTGTTGTTGCTTCGAGTGTTCTTGGTTCGAGGATTCCTCCTTCGCACTCTGTCTGAGTGGAGACTAAGAAGACGGGAAATGTCACGATCAGACTACGTACAGGAAAATGCGTGGAAAGATAGATATCGAACAGCAGATATCTACAAGGTGGTAGATTATGCATTCATGCCGAGTGTACAGCAGTGTGGGGATGAAACCGCGTGGAAAGATACAGCATTTTTCCTTTGTTTTGACATCTGTTATGGCGCTTCCTCTCCGGCTTTACTCCCAGCAGTTCCACGTCATCATGCCCTTGGCTACCATACTCCACCGCCACCACAACACACCTGCTAGTCTTCGGTGAGGAAGGCAAAGCTGTGCTGTGCTGTGCTGTAAGGCAGGACACGTGTGGGTAGGGACCAAGCAGCTCCCAAAGATACAGGAGATACAGCATGATTTTCTTGTTCTCAGACAAACGATTGGCGCTTCCTCTTCGGCTTTGGTAGTAGAGACAGTCTTCCCTATAGAGCTGGCCCTCCCTTTCCGCGTCTGTCGGCCTCAGTACGTGCTTGTGGCTGTTACTACTGTGGTGCCGCCAAAACTGGCCAATTGTTTGGTGGTTTTATGGCACAAAATATGGCGTTTTGGTGCAGGGGATGGGGTAGTTTTGTCCCCTCCATGTCAAAAATTTGGCATGGACGTTCATGTCATTATCATCTCCCCATGACGCACACCCCTGTGCGATGACTCCAGTTTGTGCTGTTCTGAGTAAACCCTGTAGGCGNTGCAGGGGATGGGGTAGTTTTGTCCCCTCCATGTCAAAAATTTGGCATGGACGTTCATGTCATTATCATCTCCCCATGACGCACACCCCTGTGCGATGACTCCAGTTTGTGCTGTTCTGAGTAAACCCTGTAGGCGATATTTTCAAGAATGTTCAACGCACACCCCTGTGCGATGACTCCAGTTTGTGCTGTTCTGAGTAAACCCTGTAGGCGATATTTTCAAGAATGTTCAACGCACACCCCTGTGCGATGACTCCGGTATGTGCTGTACTTGAAAGAAATGACTTTGCAGACGCTCCGACGCCTCATTTGTGCTGCGGTTGCAGGCTCCACACGCAATGTACACACATGCGCGCACGTCAGCCAACCACAGCAGTTAACCCGATGGATGCTAGGTTTTCGAGGAAGCACACACACACACACCAGTTCATGGCAGAAAAAAGTGTTTTGTGTTTTCAACCGCACTGAGACTGACGTCTTTTCATTTGTCAGCCGGTTAGCGCGGTCGATGCTAATAATAAAAAAACACACACACAGGAAGAGAAAGCCGCAAGATATAGCGCGCCGACATACGAAATGTCGAGGGCGGAAAACATGGGTAATTGCCCACCGTCGAGCTGTGCCTACACGCGACCCACAATCGCTTGGCAATCATGTCGGAGGTTTCAAGTACGGGAGGTAGCGCGATCTCAGGAGCTAGCGGTGGCGGCCCTTCCTCTGCGGATGTGGTAGCTGCCCCTGCCGACCCGTTGGCAGCGATGTAGAGCTGTTGGATGGGCCATGGATTGGGGCTGCGGGAGGGGATCATGATGATCTGTAAACGTTCTGGCTCGCACTCTCTTGGGTTGTACCAGTAGTGGCAGGTTGGCTGCCCAAACGTGCTTGTGTGTGCATCCCAGCAGTAGGAGGTTGGCGCTGTTAGGTGTTTCTGGTAGTGACGGGGTTGGAATTTCCAGGGTAGTCCTCGGTACCAGTTTTTTTGACGGTACCAAACGGGATAGTAATGCAAAATGACGGTCCTTTTTTTCCGGTTGACGGTACTTCGTTTTTTGACGGTACTTTTTTGACGGTATTGAAAAATGACGGTACTTTTTGACGGTACCGAAATATGACGGTACTTTTTTCGCGGTTGACGGTGTTTCGTTTTTTGACGGTACTTTTTTGACGGTATTGAAAAATGACGGTACTTTTTGACGGTACCGAAATATGACGGTACTTTTTTCGCGGTTGACGGTGTTTCGTTTTTTGACGGTACTCGTTCGTCGGTACTCCAAATTGACGGTACTTTTGGCGGTTGACGGTATTTCGTCGTGCCGGGCGGTGATGAAGTATCCCGGCACCGCCCCTGTGATCACGTGATTTCCTGAATAGACACAACGCCACCACGGCATAGATCAAACATCAAATATCAAAATTAATTGAATATCAAATCGTCAAATTGAGAAACTGTCAAACGGAGCAGCCTCACGCGAACACAACAACAGGAAACGTGAAATGTGAAATCCAGCTGGTGAAAACATGCCACACGAAAAAAAGAACAGGAAACAAGATAACAAGAAAACCTGAAGAAAACAGACGGACAGATCGATGCGATAAAAAACCAAAACAGGAACATGCCAAGACCAAAAGAAAAAAAAACTAAGATATAAGATATAAGAAGTCGACTCTTACACTTTTACCTCCCTCTGCCCCATGCAAGCCTAGACTCCTGCTGTCAGCCGTCACCATCGTAAAAGGCAAAAGGGAACATCGTGAGACATCGGAGAGTGGAGGTGGGGTCGGTTGAGCACGGTGAAGCTGTCCAGTTGTTTCATTGTTTTAAATTTTAAATTTTAAATTTTAAATTTGCAGTTTCGCCACAAATCGCAAATCGAAAAAGATATAAACTCCTCACTCCTCACAAATTACGAATTATAAATTGTAAATTACTGCAAATTACCTCGTGTCGTTCCGCCTGAGAAGCTCGTAGATGCGCGAAAAGCCCTCTTCTAGCCTCTGGAGTTCCTTCAGCTCGTCGTTGTTGACGGCGGAGTGGCTGAAGACACCAACCATCGCTGCCAGCTTCTTCATGAGTGTGCCCATCGCTGGGTTCAACCTCCCTTTCCCGGCAATGCCCAACGCCCACACGACTGCGGTGTTGAGGCGGTGGCAGTTGCACTCGACCACCGTAACACCCAACGCCGTACACGCGTTGATGATGTTCTTTCCTTGATCCACCGTAAACGCGAGGAAGACGTCCGAGGGCTGTACAGACTCGCCCATGAATCCCGAAAAGTACTCTAGCGTGAGCTGCATATTGCGGGACGTGACGACAGATGGGACATGATTAAGAAGTACGAATAATAGCAGTAAACACGTGAAAGTAGGAACTATATTTCTATGTAAGAAGCACCAGGTTATCCGATACTCTATTATATATTATTTATTATATAGTTGTCCACTGGTGTTCGAATCCGCGTGTGTTCATATTAAATTTTTTATATTTTCTTTCTCTCAAGACACGATTTCAACAAACTGGTTTCAAGAAACAAGAAACGACAAACAAAAAAAAAACACAAGAGCAACACGCGACAGCAATCGTACATGCAGCCACGAAACAAAACCAATGCGCCTCACCTTCTCAATCCAGGGTTGGATATCCTCGGCAGTGTGGCTCCCGGGAAACGCTCGTGCCGCAAGCGCGATGCGGGTCATGTCCGTATCGCCCTTCTTCACGAACGTTACGGTGAAGGTGATGTATTCCTCGCCGGCCGCTGTTGTAAGATCCAGCTGGGCACCAAGGAAGGGTCCCGAATACCCCATGCCGAGGTTCTCCTCTCGTAGCGTCCGCAACTCGCCCACGACGGATGAGAGCACCGTGCCGTAAAGCTCGTCCAAGGTCTGGTTAAACGTGCTCTTCGCCATTGTGGTTGTCACGTACTCCGGGGACAGAGACCCCAAGAAGAGCTTGAAGCCTTGGTCGAACCGCAGTTGCTCCGGCCTCAGGTCGATGCAGCACCAGAGGACGAAACGGCGGTCGGCAGCATCCTTCCGTGCCTTGGTCATCGTCGGCACCATGTAGTTCATGAGCGACGATGAGCTCGGTGCGCCTGCCGATGGACCTGCTGCCGATTTGCCCACTTTGATCACAGTGCACGCACCAGAGGACAACGAAAAAAAGCAGAAAGCAAGAAGGTCGAGCAGGGCCATGGTGACTACTTACTGTATAATCTATACACACGGCCATCCTATTGTTTTATTTTTATTTTTTCTGTTTTCTGTTTTCTGTTTTCTTTCAGGTTCCCATTGTATATCTTATATTTTATAATGTTGCAGATATTTTGTAAAAAAAACAAGCTTCCCTCACCCTTGCAGATCTAGCGGCACACTATCCGCAAACCGCAACGTAGTGTAAGGGGGGGTGGTATTCCCCGTTATCATTTTCAGCTGATCATTTAATCATTTTTTATTTTTGATATTTATATATTTATTCTCCCAGCATATATTCTGTCACTCGTGATTCTTTATTCTTTAGTCTTGAGCAAAAAAAAAAAACTCACCGAGTGCTGCCACAATGGGTGCTGTGTTGTCCTCCGATGCGCCTACTTTGGCCTTGTGTTTGTCCACCTCGCTCTTGTGACATATCTCGAGGTGCTTGGAAATCCCAGAAGTTCCCGTCCCTTTCTTGCCGAGTGCTGCTCCTTCCCACTTCATCAGGCGGCCACAGGGCGTCCCATCAGCCTTCTTCACCAAACACACCACGTTCTTCCCGTTGATGGACGGGCTGAATCTACTCGCAAAGTTCCACGTCCAAGATGTCAACCTCCTTTTGCCCTCCATAGGCTCTTTGAGTGTGACTTTCACGGTTTTGCCTTTCCCAACGTCGATCGAGGCTTCACTCTCGGGTGGGACTTGCAACACTGGCACGCTCGGAACCACCGATTCACTTCCATCCCCATCCACCGAATCGCCAGCAGCAGCACCAGCAGCCTCGACACTGCTGCTGCTAGTACCACCGGCATTCCCCTGTACAGCTGCCATCTTTCTGGTTCTGCTGGACCGCACACACTCTTTGGACCGCGGGTGGGGTCTGTGTGGCTGCAGGCCGCTCTTCTCTTGCGCGACCATCAACTTCCAAGTCAAAACCAAGAAAAAGGTTCTACCCAAACGTAACAAAGCAGCCCGATAGAACCATCAACAAGAAAAAAAAAAGACGAAGAAAAAAAAAAACAGCTGAAAAACAAAAAAAAAATGTACACACGCGAATTCGAACTCTAGTTCCTATCCGCAGCAGGTCAACAGGGCAAAACATATGCCAGCTGGCAATGCCTCACAGTCGACGATACTTCGTTTCTTGACGGTACTTCGTTTTTTGACGGTACTTTCTTTGGCGGATGACGGTTCTTCGTTTTTTGACGGTACTTTTTTGACGGTTGACGGTACTTCGTTTTTTGACGGTACTTTCTTTGGCGGATGACGGTTCTTCGTTTTTTGACGGTACTTTTTTGACGGTTGACGGTACTTCGTTTTTTGACGGTACCGCCTTCGGCGGTTCACGGTGCCGCCGAATATGACGGTATTCCGCGGAGTACCGTATTCGACCTACACGACGGGAAAAGAACGTTGGGAATTTTCCCGAGGACTACCCTGGAAATTTCTTTGGTAGCGAAAAAAGTATCTAGAACATTATATAGAGTAGGTACAAAAGTGCAGCTGTTCGATGGTGGTGCTGTGTCACATGGTACATACTGCTCTTAGTGTTTTGGCTGATGGCTGCTGTTTTTTTTCTCGTGTTTTGTTGAACGGACAATGTTCAAGTTTGCCGATCCAATCGACATACCAAATGTGTTTCATGTCCTTCATACCTCCACTTGTGGTACGCGACGATGACCTACCTACGCATACAGCAGAGCTACATGCCAGCACCGGCATGGTTGCAGGGGTGAAAGTTGCCATGGCCAACACTGGCATGGTTGGAAGGGTGAAAGTTGCCCCGAAATCGCTGGCACTCAACTACTATCCTACTACTATAGGTTGCGAGTCATCGCACCCCTGTGCGGTAACTCCGGACCCTGCGCGGAAATCGAATCAAACAATTATGCCATTCAATTTTCATCGCACCCCTGTGCGATAACTCCGGACCGTGCGGAAACCCCGGACCGTGCGCTAATCCGCAACGTTACGGTACATGAACAGTCTTCCATACCCTACCAAATGCCTCGTTACGCTCAGTGTCGACCTCCATACCTACCGAGAAGGCCGGTGGAGACTTCCATACCTACCGGACATCTCGGTATGCTTCGGAAAAAGTTGATACTTTACCGAAATCTCGGTACGCTTCGGTAATATTTCGATACCTCACCGAAGTCTCGGTACGTTCGACAAATAAATGTGGGCGGTGCCGGGATTGGCTTCAGTAATAGGTCAATACCTTACCAAAATCTCGGTACGCTTCGGTAATATTTCAATACCTTACCGAAATCTCGGTACGCTTCGGAAGTATTTCAATGCCCTACCGAAATTTTCGGTAAGCTTTGGTAAGATTTTTATACCTCACCGTATCCGTGCCTTACCGAAGACACCCTTGGAATATTGCTTGAAAACGTCGGATTGGCCCATGTTTCATGGGGGCGAAGATATGAAGGCGATTGATTGTCTTGGAAAATTCTCGAGTGGAACGCAAGAAAATGAAGAAGGGGTGCAAAGATGGAAACATGCAGACACGTTCAATGGACGATGTGCACGGACAAAACACACAGGCTTATGAGCATAGAGCGGGTCGGTAGGCCAGCAGTGCCACCATACGTACGTGAGAATATCATTTGACTCGATTTCAAGGCACGTTTCTCGGGAGAAAACAAAACGTGATTTCAACGGCGCGACCGACTTGTTGGGTTTGGGAGTGAATTCTTCGGACGGACACGGTTGACAGCATGTGATGGTGCATTTTTCGGACATGGTCGACTGCGTTTAGTTAGGAGTGCATTTGACGACCGAATTCTTGGGTTTGGGAGTGAATACTTCGGACGGACACTGTTGACAGCATGTGATGGTGCGTTTTTCGGACATGGTCGACTGCGTTTAGGAGTGCATTTGACGTATATGAACGGGCATATTTTTTGCCAGCAGAATCCCCACACTTTGCAATTAGGGAAAAGGTTCTTCCGGATATTGCCAATATCATTTGATCATTATTATTTTGTTTGCCCTCCGACAATTGCAGATAAATGCAGACATACATAAAACGTCGATCGTAAAGGCCGTCATGCCAAGCCAAATTAACTCGATGCCCAATAGCTAGGAATGTTTGCCTCTAAGTCAACAAAACTTTGGTTGAAACACTACAGCTGAACTCTAGGCACGAGCCTTAGATGGAGAAAAACGAACAAAACCCCAACCTCATCCACCCGAAGTCAAACAAAACTCGGCCCCGCCTTCCCTGGTACCCCTGACACCGTATCGTTCTGTACGGCAACTCGACGAGTGAGTATCGTCGCGTTGCCTTTTTGAAGCTTTCGGTTTTTTCAGCGGGTAACAATCAGGGTAGACACCAAGACGACGCTCGATGAGCACACAGGAACCGGGGGACCCAAAAAAACACGGATATCGCGAGATGAGACTGAAGCTATTGCAACGCTTCAGAATTCCATGCAGTTCCTCCCTGTTGTCCCCAAACGTGTTGCCTCTCTAACTCAACCGCTCCGGATCAATGTACACAGAGTAAAGACCTCTGCAAAGGGCCCGGCTAGTTAGTCCCGTCCTCCGTGGGTACGCACTACTGTGAGTAGCTCAAGGAGATGAATTATGAACACTGCTCGTGTCACAGCACGAACAGCCTCGCTTTCTACAACACTTCGACCGAGAACAACACCAAGGGTAGGTCGTAGCTCCACCAGTAAAATCTGAGCGCTCATCCGAAACCGCCTCTTATCGAAACTTGTGTTTGACAGTACCTCTTTTTCGCTGGGGGTTTCATAGCAGTGCGACACGGGGCGCTCAACGACTCGCCAGCCGCAAGAAGTTCCTGGTGCATCGCCCACCTCCCAAATTCTAGAACGTCATGGAACGCTCTTTCTTCCTATGATAGCTCTCTACGACATACAGTAGGTGGCTCTGGTTCTTGTTTCGCGACGAGCGCAGGCTGGAAACGTTTACGTGAAAGAACATCCAAACGAAGGTCCTCCCAGCTCGTATCACCTACGCGTCAAATTCGACATAACACAGAACAGTAGTGGACATTTCAGTCTAGCAAAACGAATGACAGCCATACACTAAAGAAACGATTACACGCGAAACCACTGCCACACGAAGCGATGCGACTGCTGTCGCGACTGTACAAACGGACAGGGAGCAAAGCTCACCACTAGGATAGCCGCTTCAAGACTACCAACCGAGGTCTTTCAATTCAAACAGACCACTCAATCGAGACACGCAGAAGCGACCAATCCAAGTGTTGGCAGTGCATCAAAACGTAAAGCGAATGCCGCCTTTTATTTGCTGGCAACGTTCCTATTCGTCGGCCCCCTCGCGAGTGCTCGAAGGCCGAACGAAAATCAAGCGCAGAGCATCCAAGCGAAACAAAGGATGGCCAACAGTCTACAGGGGGACTAATACACACTGTATGCACGAATGAGTGCCGGCTGGATGCCGCCCTGTCAACATGAACAAAACAAGCACTGGAATGGGAATGCACGGCAATATGTTTGCCGACTGGATGGAGCGAGCCTACAGTGCAACTCGCACACTTTTTTCCTCTCACACCTGCGACACAGAACCCTGTGAGAAGAAAAATACAAATGGTATGGAACAAGTCGGGGATGGAACAAGTCGGGTATGGAACAAGTCGGGCACATCAAGCGCAACAACACATACATACATGTGACAGCTTGTTCGGAGGGCAACTGAATTTATTTCCGAATGAATACACGCCAAAAGCAAGGGTGCCTCACGTGTTTCGGATGACTGCATGGAGCGCGGAAGAGGTGGGACCAGTGTGCCGAATTCTGTGGGCTGTAACATTCCGCCGTTTTCGAGAAAAATAGTAAGGCGTGCTTCCCTTCCCCCTCACGTGAAATGACCTCACTCCAACCAGTGATGTTTGGAGCGACACGGGCCTGCTGCTCCTCGTTCTGCCAACCCGCGACGCGATCACCATTCTCGGCGTGCGGTGCTACGTAACCATTTACAAAGTTGCAAAACAGCCTGCAGCGCACGAGTCTAGACCCGAGAGGGGGGTGCGTTTCGTCCGCGACAAGTCCCAGAGGGGGTTACGCCACCGGAACGCTTCCAGAGCCGAAAAATATCGCAGCGGGTGTTGTTCACAGTGCAGCGACGGCTCACCGGTGCCCGAAGCACGCCCGGCAAAAGTCCAAAATATCGATGATTGCTGCTGCCTAACAACGCGCACCGCCGCGCGTGCACGCCTGATAAGCAGCCGGAGTGACTGGTAGGACTCATCTCAACTAAACGGTGGTACATACGTACGGTTATCGACTCTCGGCGGCTTCCGAGATTCGAGTAGAGGCCTCTGCTGTTGTACTGGCGCCATGGTCAGCGGTGGTGCCGTCGGCCTTCGGCTCTTTCGACAGCTCCGAAGCTGACGACAGGAAATTTTTCGTGGCCTGAACGGAAAGACGGGCGGACACACGACCAAACGAAAGCGCGCCAGGAGAGCATGGGGCGCGGGGGGGGTTAGGGTTCAGGTGCCTACCAACCTCTCGGGGTTTTCACGTCACCTGACCCAAACACCGTGCTGGTTAAACATTCCTCAGCCTCTGCCGCCCCACCTATCTGCATCGCCACACCCATGCTCCCCCTCCGATGTTTCCGTTTCCCTTTCTTCTTGCTACCCCCGTCCCACGCTGTCTTGTTGTTTCGCCTCTACCCATCTATCTCCTCTCCCCGAACCTTGTCTACCTCTTTCCTTAGACGTGCCTTTCTCCGCTAACCCGATCCAGCCAGGAGCCAGCACCGAGCCCGTCGAACCAGCCGAACCAGCCGCAGTGGCCCCCGTGCTTCGTGATGGCGACCACGATGCCGTCGCTCTTAGCGGCCGCTTCGAGAGCACCCACCCACAGGCACGCGGGGGCCAGAGCGGGTGGTCTTTCGCGAGGAGGCACAGCGTCGGCACGGTCACCTTCAGGAACGAATTCGAACGGTGATGGGCGGGGATGGCGCGGGGCACAAAACAACCGTCACAACGCACACAGAGTAAACATCTACTTGCTACTTGCGTGGTTAACCCTTCTATGGCTACCGTCACTTTTTTTTTTTCTCATTTTTTTTATCACTCTGGCTCAATAGCCCGGTCTTCTCAAGGAGGGGATGATAAGGAAAATATCCCGAACCGAATGCAAGGGAGTTGTATGGCAGGCAGGACGCCTAAAAAGACCTGCAGGTCTGCAGCGTAGCTTGTGCACACACACCCACAAGCGCCGCGTTGGGGTATGCATGGCGGATTATACAAGGCACGTGAGGGCCGCAGCCTGGCTGGGANGTCGCCGGGAAAAAATTGATAACTCAGAACGTCAAATAGCAAGCAAAAATTGATCACTCAAGTGTACTATTTCCTTTCTTCCCCTCGCTGCCTCGGCAAGGTTTTGCGTAGGCATGACTCATAGCGAGGGTGGGGGTCTTTCTATCGAGCAGGGCTAGACTCACCCTCAGGGGACCGATACCTTCTTGCTGCGGTGCACCCGCCGCGAGGCGTGCGTAGTGGTGGAGTTGGGTAGGCACTGGTGCGTCAGGTACAAAGGTGCAGATGCGCGGGCCTCCAGGCCGTCGGTGTAGGCAGCAATGCCCATCTCATATTTNTGGGGGTCTTTCTATCGAGCAGGGCTAGACTCACCCTCAGGGGACCGATACCTTCTTGCTGCGG